ACATGTACAGGTTTCTTATATAGGCAAATTGCATGTCATAGGGGTTTGGCGTGCAGATTATCTTGCTACCCAGGTAATAAGCATAATATCTGATAGGTAGATTTTTGATCCTCACACCATTTCCCTCTAACCTCAAGTAGGTCCCTCTGTCTGTTGTTCACCTCTTTGTGTCCATATGTACTCAGTGTTTAGCTTCTACTCATAAGTGAGAACATGTAGAAGTGAAACATTTGGTTTTCACTTCCTGCATTAGTTTACTTAGTATAATAGCCACTAGTTCCATCAATGTTGCTGCAAGAAACATGATCTCATTCTTTTTTATGGCTGTATAGTATTCCATGGTGTATATGTACCACATTTTCTTTGTCTAGTCTATCATTGATGGGCATTTGGGTTGGTTCCAGGTCTTTGCTATTGTGAATGATGCTGGGATGAACATACCTGTGCCTATGTCTTTATAGTAGAATGATTTATATTTCTTTGGGTGTATACTCAATAATGGAATTGGTGGGTTGAATGGTAATTCTGCTTTGAGTTATCTGAGAAGTTGTCAAACTGCTTTGCACAATGGCTGAGCTCATTTACTTTCCCACAAGCAGTAGATAAATCCTTCCTTTTCTCTGCAACCTTGCTAGCATCTGTTATTTATTGCCTTTTTAATAAAAGCCATTCTGACCGGTATTGGATGGTATCTAATTGTGATTTTGACTTGCATTTCTCTAACGATTAGTGATGTTGAGCACTTTTTCATATTCTTGTTGGCTGTGTGTATGTCTTCTTTTGAGAAATACCTGTTCATGTTCCCTGCCCACTTTTTAATGGGATTGTTCACTTTTTATTGTTGATTTAAGTTCCTTCTAGATGCTGGATATTAAGATCATTGTCAGATGCATAGTTTGCAATTATTTTCTCCCATTCTGTGGGTTTTCTGCTTAGTCTATAGTTTCTTTTGCCATGCAGAAGGTCTTTAGTTGAATTAGGTTCCAATTGTCAATTCTTATTTTTGTTGCAATTGCTTTTGGCATCTTCATCCTTTTTGCTAGGTTCTATGTCAAAAATGGTATTGCCTAGGTTGTCTTCCAAGGTTTTTATGGTTTTGAGAATTACATTTAGGTCTTTAATCCCTCTTGAGTTGATTTTTATATATGGTATTAGGAAGAGGTCTAGCTTCAATCTTCTGCATATATTTAGCCAGTTATCCCAGCACCATTTATTAAATGGGGAGTGCTTTCCCCATTGTTTGTTTTTGTCAACTTTGTCAGAGATCAGATGGTTGTAGCTGTCCACCGTTATTTATATTCTGTTACATTGGTCTATGTGTCTGTGTTTGTGCCAGTACCGTGCTGTTTTAGTTACTGTAGCCTTGTAATACAGTTTGAAGTTGGGTAATGTGATATCTCCAGCTTTGTTCTTTTTGCTTAAAAATGCCTTGGCTATTTAGGCTTTTTTTGGTTCCATATTAATTTAATTTTTTTCTAATTTTAAGTATGAATGGAGTCACTGGAAAAACCCAAGAAGCATCTTCTTTCAGCCCACACTCCTCCCAGCTCCAATTTGAAGAGCTGCTGTCATGTCTGCTGCAGTGCACTGGGATGTAGGGGCAAGGGGCAAGTAGCAAGGAATGACCCCCCTCTCCAAATTCATTACTGGGCTTTGGTGGTACTCACTTCAGCAGCTGGTTCTGTGCTCATGTTTTCTCTCACCCAAGGGGGGCTTTGGTGGCTGTACTCTGCCCCCTTCTTAAGGGTAGTCTGCACTGAGGGGTAATCTTCAGGAAAGAGAGGACTCATTCTTCCCACTCCTTAGAGCTGGTGGGGCACTGTTCCCCAACTGACCAAGAGAACAGACTGGGTACCCAGCAATGGCATACAGAGACTATTTCCAGGTCATAAAGCCAAGTCTGGCTGTAAGCCTCACTGAGCAGGAGAAACCTTGTCTTCAGCAACTCTCCTCCTGCTCCAGTCCTACAATGGGAGAGAGCCTAATTTCAGTACCTATTGCTGGGGCACTCTCCATACTAGCCACTCAATTCTGGACACGGGAGCCCTTCCCCTACTCTGGAGCAAGCTCTCCAGTCTTTGGCCAAAGATGAAAATGCCCACAGTGCCTGCTAGTGCCAGGTCTCTAAATGATAGTTTTCTTTATATGAGTCTGAATTAACAATGGCATCCTTTTCTCAGTCTCAGATCTTGGACAATACCTGCTGCTTTTCCTGATGTCTTTCCCTCTCTTCATCTCTCAACCTTTCTCCAAGTTAGCTCCAGAAACTGGGAGAAACAGGGTGCTTGGGTTGTACATATCCTTAGTGAAAAGGTGAGTCCCAGAGGGAGACTGACAGTCCTTCTCACATAATGGGGCTTCACTCATTTCTATCAGCCAAATGCCATCACCGGGGCTGCTTGCCCACTTTCTCCTACCCAAGGTCTTGGGTGTCCTTTGCTATTTCAGTGAATTGCCCATTTTCCTTCTTCAATCAAAGCTCACAAAGTTGATCATTATTTACTATTTTGCTATTTCCAAGTGATTGAGGCATACTGAAAGCCTCTAATCCACAATCTTGGAAAAACTGTCTTATTAATATTAAAAAATTCTCAGCCACTGTATTTTTTATTATACTTCCTTTATTCTTTTTATCATATATTCCTGGAATTCTGATTAAATGTTTGTAACATTTCCCATTCATTATGAACCTATTAAGACATCTAGAGGAATCAGCAGTTACCACCTTCAGTTTTTGCTTAAATCTCTGGATTCTTGCTTGTGCTTCACCTTTCTCTTCTGAGGACTTCCATTATTTTCTTGTGGACACAATTATGTTATTCAATATTTTTTATTATTTAACTTCAAAAAGATCTCACCCTGTATCTGTATCACTATACTATCAGTAAGAAAATTCCCCTTATATATTTTTTAAACTCTGTTTTTTTCTTTCTAGACAAATAGAGATTCCCATATTTGGAGAAAGCTTTTAATTTCTGCCTCCATTAAATGTTATTTTCACTGTTTACTCCTGGATTAATCTGGTCTTGCCTGTATAATAGGGACCTGGGGTTTTGGTATTTGCATTCCCAAAACTCAACTAGTAAGTTTTTGCTGAACAATTTGCTTCATCTAGAAATAGCATGATTAATACAGCCCTGGAGTAATAATTTTAACTATTTCATTTTTTAGATTATGCTAGAATAATAAAACTGATACCATTCATTCAGTTTTACTCTTACATTCCTAACACAATACTTTCTCTATTAAAAATTTTTTAAAACATTTAATTTGGTAAAATCCACATACTCAAGCAAAAATAAAATTCATGAATGAAACCAAAATTTTAGAACAGAAATGTCATCACAAGGACTCATATATTTAGCCATGATAGAGATATAATAATATATCTAATAGTACTCTGACACTTAATAATACATGGTACACATGTCAAGATACAATGTGCCAGGATATCATTTTGTCAGTTTTTGCTAATAATGTTCATTAGTACTATTGTCTAAAATTATGTACCTCCCAGGCTGAAAAAGAAAGCTTTGGACACCATGGTGAAAATATTGCACACATATAAGGGAAAAGAAGTGTGAATTCTAGAGACACTGACATATACAGCAGCAGTTGAGGTGAGTGAAAGATGTACATATGCCAGTGCCTTTCAAGTACCTGCATAAACAGACAGTATGTAGGCACTTAATAGAATGGCTGCTATTATCTAGACAAGATCGAATTCTAAGTGAAATGCTGAAATTCAAAGTGACAAAGACTTCTAGTTAACCTCTAATTAATGATCAAGATAATGACAAAAACACTATCTACCACAGAATGGGAAGACAAAAGAGTTTGATCATCTGTTGAGAATTGCCTTCTGGAAACTTTCAAAGACAGCATGCAACTCTCAAACCAAAAGAACTTGAGAACTTTAATGTAAATGGGACAAATGTGAAATGGGTCAGTTAAGTCATTTTTGATATATCAATCAAACATATAGTAAGAGAACTATATCACTCAATTAAACAAATTTTCACTAAGTATTATTTTTCACATACTCAGCTGGCAGCTATTGGAAGTAATTCATTAAAATTATTCAAGCTGAAATGTTTACATGATTTTCTTGAGACCAAAATTTACTCATTATAATTTGAAAAGACATTTTATGTTTTCATAATTAAAATGCATCCATGATATGATATAATTCAGCAGTGATAAATTGAATGACTAGATAAAGCAGAAATGTAATAAATACTATAGATTATAAATACATGTGTAAAATGTGATAGGGAAAGGAACAAGTGAATAGAATAAACATAGAAGATTTATACAAAGCAGCAATATTATAATTTAAGCTTTACATGGACAATTTTTTTCTTTGAAAAAATGATTAATGTTTTGCATTGTCCCATTGATAAATGTAGAAAAATAATGAACATGGACAATTAATAATGTATATGTTAAAAAGAAATATTATTTTTAAAAACCCTCTTTGCTATACTTAGTTTCAAAAAATAAGTCTGCAAATAATCTTATTTGACTAAAAACGACAAGGGCAGTAACATCTAGAAAAGTGTCAATGAGGATTAAGGATAACAAAGATTTATTTTTTGCTTTGTCTTTCATTGTATTTTTAGCATGAGACCTGCTGTGATATAACATCTGCCTCTTTTGCTAACTGTGCACATTACTTTGCTTTTGTTCATTTTTCCTTTAGCCTAATTTTGGAATGCCAATAGAACTTACTCCTTAAATAACTTGTTTGTTGATATATAATATTTGTACATATTTTGGGGGTGTATATGATATTTTGATACCTCTATACAATGTGTAATGGTCACATCAGGGTAATTGGAAACTCACTCTTTTTCACATCCTGACTTCTAGAAGACCATTCTTACCCTACTTTTGTGTAAATGTTTAGGTTTTTTCTTCTTGATTTGCTCTTAAATGATTTATTTTTCTCTTTTGTAATATGTCAGCAGTTTTCATTCTTATTCTTTTTTCTTCTGAAATTTCATTGCAATGTTAACATCATAGAGTTACATGATTTTTCTGTCTGTATACACACTGATACTTAATTTAGATTTTGACATCTCTTTATTTTTAACATATGAGATTATGCATTTCTAAACTAAGATAAACATTTAAGAAAGGTTGTTACTCAGATACAAAAATGTGTTAATAGTTTTATAGTGTTTAGCTTTCCTTTCTAACTATAGTGTACTACTAGTACAAATCATAGGAAGCCTTATCCATAGCTCTACAAAATGAATTTCTCAGTGTGCTAAGATCACAAAAGCATGAATTATTTTACTGTAACTATAGAGTTCAGTAGAAATAAATCCTTATCTATAAGTTTTCTGTTATATAGTATATTCAGCTATAATTTTGGAATTACTGCTTCAATCTCAATTTTCATAATATATGTATATATTAAGAATAATCCAATTGGATTTTTTAAATGAGGAAATGCATATTTCATTTAAACTTTTCTCTGCACCACCAGATGACCATGGCTTTGGTTTCTCAGCAAATTCTCTTGAACGACACTGTGGAAATGATTTATCCAAGTACCAAATTAACTTGTATATCTTATTTTCTATTTTTAGTTTCATGGGAAGTTTCTGAAATAATAAATTGCATTTAAAATGTTACATTGAACTCCAACTGTAAGATGAAACAAACGATCTAATCTCCTTGAAGGTCAAGTTATAAATTATTCTTATGATGAAGCAAGTTGCAGATGGCTCATGAGCAAAATCTCAAACATGGGCTTCTTGATGAAGGCACATAGATGCCCTTTAGTTGCACTGCAGTAGCAAATATGGACTCTGAGTTATAACAGCAGGTTTCAGGTATTCACAGTAATTGCAGCAGCTATGCCATAACTGATTTAAATGTGTGTCATTAGTTACTTAGAGCCACATTTTACAGTCAATTATTAATGCCTTCCAGAAATTACCATGAGATAGTCAGAAGTTTTGTGCTTGTTATGGCATGGTCTCATTACTCATAGCAGGAGCCCACGAAGGGTAAGTGTAGAGGTCAAACATGGGTACAGTCCATGTAGATATGCCAAGCATAACCACGGCAACACCAACAATATTCACACCAAGTCCAGCTTTGACCTTGAACAGGAAAGAGCATACATGTCAGTGTCCCAAAAGGAAGCCTACAGGAGAAATAGAATCCTGTTGCAGCAGGTATATGCCAGGTTTACATGCATCCTAAATGATTAGCATAAATTGTCATTTCTTAAATTTAGGAGTTCTTTTTTTAAAAATTTTTTTAAATTGTACTTTAGGTTCTGGGGTACATGTGCAGATCATGCAGGATTGTTGCATAGGTATATACATGGCAGTGTGGTTTGCTGTCTCCATTCCCCCATCACCTATATCTGGCATTTCTCCCCCATGTTATTCCTTCCTAACCTCCCCACCCCTTGCTGTCCCTCCCCTGGCACCCTTAACAGACCCCAGTGTGTGATGCTGCCCTCCCTGTGTCCGTGTGTTCTCATTGTTCAACACCCGCCTAAGAGTGAGAACATGAAGTGTTTGATTTTCTGTTCTTGTGTCAGTTTGCTGAGAATGATGGTTTCCAGACTCATCCATGTCCCTTAGAAATCTGCCATTTCAGGTTAAATAGGAATTTCAGTTTTGTGGTTCTATATTTCAATGAATAAGATTCAGGACACCATATGACAACTGTATCTTTTATATTCACTCAACATGATTATTAATTTAACCTTCAATATTTTCTTATTGAGATTTTACACCATGTCGTTTATCTTTCTTAGAGTTCTCCCGGTTTTAGCTCTTATATCATTATTTTACAGTCCATTAAACAATCTCAAAGTTGCTTTCTATCTGTTAAAATAAAAATTGGCAAACTACTGCCCTTGATTTGTTTTGGTAAACAAAGCTTTATTGGACCACAACTATGCTCATTTGTTTACATATTTTCTTTGCTTTCATAATTCAATGGCAGAGTTGAGTAGTTGTGACAGAGAACATGGAGCCCCACTGAGCCTCAGATACCATCTGGGCTTTTACAGAGAAAGTCCGCTTACTCCTTCATTCTCTGATTGAAACATGGAGCCCCGAAGCAAAAGGAGAATACCTGGAAAGAATGATAATAGAGGCCCTATTCCCTGTCCATGCAAGCCAGCTACTCATCTATCCCAGAATCCTGTTTTTACCCTTTTCAATACATATATATCAGGCATTGCTTATATTATGAAATGAATATTGTGTCATTTCTGTGTAGAGGCATTTCTGGAATGTTTATGTTGTAAGGATTTAGGAACAGCAGTCCGTGTGAGAGAAATGGAGCCAGGACTTACCTTGACTGTATTTGCATAGGAAGCTCACTGAATTGACTTTGGCTACATTATCATTTGGGTTGGTTTGGAAATTGGTGTGAAGATTTGGAAACTACCAGAATATTCTCAAGCCAGTTCTTAACTACCAGTACTTTTGTATTTGGCAAAAATGTGCATCAGTTAAATTCTTCATTATTGTTTGCTTGTGTTTTCATGTTAGGTCCTGGTATTGAAATCAAAACAAGAAAGACACTTTTTCATCAGTCAGGCACTGACCCGTGTCTCATTCAGAGGAAATGTTGGTTGCATAAATGTTTGTGATAGCAAACAACAGTGTTGTTTTGATGCCTGGGTTTCTTTAACCCGATTTCTTCCTTTCACCTAGATCCGTTTGGATCCTAGTGTAGACCTATAAGTGTAAGCTGTTGTGTGGAGCATGTTCAGTGCTCTTTTCCTTCTTCCAAAACATTACTGATGCATTCAACATCTCTCTGTTTGTGACCATAACTTAGAATGGTCTGATTATCACTCTTAAAAATAATTCTATGATTAGTCACGCACACACCTTCACAAACGGAACTCAGGCCATGCTTTTTCTGTGGTTGACTGTTGTATAAAAGGGAAGATGTGTCAAGACATAGCACACATCAAGATGTGTGTTGGATCTGATAGTGTTTTTTCAGCTGACTCACCATGTCAATGACTTTCAGATGACCATATGAAAAGACAATAGCATTGGGTGGATTTGCTACTGGTAGGAGGAATGCAAATGAAGTACACAGAGTAGAAGGTATAAGAATAAAAAGAGGGTTCACGTGAATGGCTTCAGCCTATTGTAACAGACAAAAAAAGAGTAAGTAAAATTTTGAGGGTAGACATCAAACAAAACAAATGAACAAATGAACCTAATGACATAAAATTATACACAGCAACACAGTTATAAATTGAAGAATAGTATTAAGAAAATGTCTCATTCTCTTTTGCTTATACAATTATTGATGCCCACTTAAACATTACAGTCTAGTTCATTTAGAAAATAAAATATTATTTATTCCAGAAACTAAATAAAAACAGCAACCATTTATTGCTTATCTATTGCTAGGTGCTGTGCTAAATGTTTTTATATATGTATATATTCATATATTTACACATAATATAGTTTATATATAATATAATAAATGTCATATATTTATACATATTAAATTTTTACAATGATCTCATGAGATGGTTGCTATATCCTCAAATAACATGAAGAAACTGAGGCCCAGAGAGGCTAAAGTCGCTTGTCCAAGCATGCAGCTGGTGAGCAACAGAGCTCACATAAGTTCTCAAGTCCCTGTAGCTCTCTCTTAGTAAACCCACTTACTTTTTAAAAATTCTTCCCTGGGCAGCAGAAAACTGTGTCTAAGATATTTAAGCCTGAAGCCTGAAGTCTGAGCCTAGTTTTTCATTCATTTGCAAATCACTTGTGTGAACTACTTCTTAGAAATTTAGGAACAATGTTCAGGAGGCAGAAGTGTCAGTAGTTAAAGATCTAAATACTAAAGTTACCAGCAAATGCTAAATTCTAAGTCTTATATCTAAAATGGATCCAGTCTGACTCTCTCTCTCTTATTTATAAAGGAAAAAGCTGGACTGAGAAAAAGGAAGTTGTTCACTTAAGATCATGCTGCTTGGACATGAAAACAAATAAAGACCACCCTATAAGTTACTTTCAGGAGGCCCATTTAGACCAAAACGTATTCCATACCACAACATGAGAACCAGCATTGCACAGCAGAACACTGTTCTTAATGAAGAGTAAAAAACGGGATAAACAGATACTCACCAATGGAGATAATATTGGGAGAAGGAGCGTAATGGTAGCTGCATTGCTAGCTACCTCAGTTAAAGATGTAACCATCAAAGAAGATATCAGAATTATTAGCCATACTGGTAATGAACCCAGAGGAGATAGTTTATTTCCTATCCACTTAGATAATCCAGATTCCTAAAAAAGAAAATTGGTAATATTTGTCACTCATGAATAATTCTTTGTAATCAGACACAGTAAAATCCGTAAAAACCATTATATCCTTTGAAAACTCACTTTCTAAAATACAATTTTAATCTCTCATTTGTCTGTGGTTGGTAGGTCCGGGTGGCTTTGGTAGGAAGAGCCATTGATTAGTCTTACTTTAACACTATTGACGTGGTTTAGGAAGTTTGAAATGTGTTCCCACTTTTTTCAATTACATTTTAATTTTATCTAATTTATATATTTGGATATTTTAATAGATCATGTAGTATTAGGGCCTTTAAGAAAAGAGTAGCCCTTCTGATTTACCTCTCTCTATTCCTAAGTTATATTCTGCAGAGGCAACAACTGCAATCTTTATTAGCCACTTATAGCTAGCTGTATTTAGGTATTTATAGTCACCTTTTAAAATAATATTCTGTGATTTTTTGCTTAATTTTAAAATTTAGACATTATTTACTGACTTTCTAAAGTGTTACATGAGAATTCAGTTATCTTACATCATCCACCATACATAGATTTCTTGTTTCTTCATTCCCCCCATACTCATATGAACATTTTTGGTTAAGTCAATACTTAATGTTTACCACTATGATTAAATAAATATTGTTCATAGCTAAACCACTTAGCATCCTATCAGTACATTTACTCTCCCTTCCCCACAAGAAATAATTGTCTCATTCTGTTACTTTTTAAGTACCTATTACCAATTCATCACATTCTCCAGTAGAACTGAAAAACTCCCCACAAATAGATGAACGTATCAGGTAATTGATGTCTTCTCATGTTCCCTTATAGCAGTATCTATTCTGGAATATTTCCTCCTCCTGCTCCATTTGGCTTAGTTTCCGTTTAAATGTACTCAACTGTTGTTGTTCCGGGACCTCTCTTTGCTGTCATATTATGATGTTCCTTCTCCCCCCCACTTTGTGGGAATCATTTTTTTATTTACTCTTTTGCATTGGGGGAGGACTGTCTTCTATAAGTTCCTGAGAATTGGTATAATTCTCAGGAATTATACATGAGTCTTTGCATGCCTGAAAACCTTTTTATTTTCTTTTCCCACTGTTCTCATTGTTTTGTATTTGTAGGATTCTAGGTTCAAAATAATTATAACTCCACACTTTCAAGCCATTACTCCATTTCCTGTGGTTTCAGTTGGATTCTTTAGAAGCCTGATCACATTCTGCTCTTTGATTCATTATAAATAATGCAGAAACACCTGCTACACTCAAATTAGCAAGTGTGTTGTTCTGTGTTTCTCCCCAACATAGAAGGGAAAATACTCCTTTTGTGAAATTTCCATGGCTATTGTATGTATGAATCTTTAGGATAACTAGGAGTGGCATGAGAAATACTCTAATTACAAGCCATATACCCTCAGATCAAAAGCTGAAACAGATATTCCCAGATGTGAGTAGCAAATATAATGTGTGGTTTTGGCTTGTATTTTTGTTTGTTTGTTTTTGCTTATGACTTTTAGGTAGAAAAAGATTATCCACCATTTTAGTCACATTGACGCAAATTAATACTAGTATATTATTTAAGAATAGGTTTTATCTATGTCTAATTATATGTGGAAATGATTATGCTATATATTGTTTCCCCTACTGTACGTCATTGAAATTGTATCTTCATCTCATGGTTCCAAGATTCTACTACATAAAGTGCTTTGGTTTTGGGTACTCAGTAACTCTCTCAGTCAAGAATCTCTCAGTCAAGAATCTCAAAGTCTCTAGTTCTCACAAATTTATTGGGTTATTTTGTGGAAATGTTCTTCCTATTTTTTTCTCTCTTTCTGAAATACCTATAAGTTGACTGTTGAACATTTTGGCTTGATGTTATAATGTTCTTATCTCTTTGTGAGTCAGTGTCTCGTTGGCTCAATTTTTTGACCAAGTAAATCTCAATTTTCTATCAGGGAGGATAGAGAGCAACAGCAGGACTGGGGAAAGTGTCTCGGAGGCCTATAGATCCTTATACGCTTTTCAAACCATCCTCCATATTCAGCTCTGGCTTTTACTCTCTAGCTTTCAGAGTTATCTGCTGCCTCTGATTCCTGAGGTATGCCAGGATGCTATGGATAACCAACTTGTTTCTTGTTGACTCTTCCTTTTGCCAGCCTATATGTTTCATATTTCACTACTTTTTTACTTGTACAAAGTCAGTTCCTCTCAAATATCCTCTTTCCATCTTCTAATGTGATCAACATTTCTTGCCTCCTCTTGTTCCTGTCATATAGTCTGTCTTTATGGGTTGGCATGTTTTTGTTATTGCAATTTTAGCAGAGATCCGAAATAAGAAATCCTGCATGTTTAACCTAGGTGAAAAAATTTTAGGAATATATGAAGATGGAAGACGAGATATTCACTGATAAGAATTTGTGAGTGTCCATCTGCTCATGAGAGATAATAAATCATGTTAAAACAAAACTGACTGCATTTAAGAGAAAGATAATTGCAATCAAGTGAATTCCATAGTTGTTGCTGTTTCATTGTTCTGTTCTAACTAGAAAGGTTTTCTGGTTCTGGACATTTGCCAGGAAGAAAAGTTTTAAAAGTTAATTGTCTCCAAATTTTTTATAATCCAGTTTTTAGGGGCACATTTGTTCTTCACCCTACTCTTGTAGCTCATGGCTTTAATCTGGTCACTAACAGGTAGAGTTATTCTGGGTATCCTGTAGACATTTGGTTCTGTGTATTGAGATTTTTAATAGCAAACTAGACCTCACTGTAGGTGAGGTGACCCAATTCTACTGAGGGAACCTAGTGCATCCGACTGAGTCCACACCTTTTCGTTTCCTCAGACTTTGCATGCTAGGATCTGACTGATGTTTTCAAGATCACATTGAGTGTCTAGCGTCCAATCCAGAGACATAATTCTGTGCAGAAAAATTGCCAGTAAAGTTAGAAGCAAAGGACTATCTTCCTATAAGTTATCAAGAAGAGAAGAGACAGTGATTTGTCTTGAGTAGTATAGAAATTTAACCTCTTCGAAGCCAAAGGGCTGAACATGACACCTCTTATATTTCAAATAAGTCTATGAAACCCAGAAATGAATGTTTTTAAATTAATCCAGGGGTAATTAATTTTCATGGAATTCTGGGGGAAGACAATTTTCTTCCAGTAACTCTAGAAAGACCAGGGTAATTACAAGAGATGACGGCCTCCCCAAACTGCTGCTTTATATCAGCCGGATAGATAGAGCAAAGAAGTTGTCAACCAACATCTCATGATGTTCATATTTTTTCCTAAGACTAGACATAATATGATGTTATAAATGGCTATGTGAAATTTTCTCCATACGTTTTCAATACACATTTACTCAGTATCTTTAATGCTAATATTATTTCTCATCCTCTTTCCTTGACAGCAATAGCATCACAATATATTGAAGTCCAAGGGCTACTCAAATTCATCATGAAATGAGGTGAAGCCATAAGCAAACAAAAAGTTTATTTCACTAGGAGACACTTTACATATTTTCATATACATTTTTCCTTACTAGTCTTCTAATACTGTTTCGTGAATTAAAAATTTTATTTTTTTTTGTATTATTTCTTTTGACATCCTGGAACACCATAAAAGCTATGTTTCATGCTTGCAGCCTGTAACATTTCTTGAACTCTGAACTCACCTCATTCGTGTGGTATATTCACTACATAGCTAGCAAAATTTGCAACATTAAAACGACAGAGTGAAATGGAATATACACAAAGATTGAATATCTCCATGCTCTTCTTTTAAACAGTCTAATTGTTAAATATCTTACCTCACAACCATCTGCCAGGGCAAACCCTCCACCAAAAAGAATGGCTATATCCCAGGGCATGAATGACTGGAATTCTTTCCAAGTAATCAGTGGAGAGTAATCAAAGGCAACTGCAAGACAAAAACCTTGGAGTTACACATTGCTTAAAGTATTACAATATGACATTTGCTTCAGCAACCTAAATAGCCATTTTACAGGAAGTTGGTGATATTCCTACATTGTTTTTGAAGATGGACTTAATCTGGAGTTTGAATTATTTCCACCTGGATGAGGTGGCACACTATACTATACATAAAAAAACCACAACTCTATAACTTAGAAAAATCCTTTGGGTAATATCATGGAACATATTTCAATAAATTATAACATTGTTACTTATAATGGTATTCATTCATTCATTCCACTAACATCTTAGCCAACTGTGAATAGCACAGTGCATTAGACTATGATAATCTTTGCTATGCAAAATGTCGATAATATTTCATTGATTCCAAGAGCATCTTGTAGCATTTTAATTATTATCCATTAATATTTATTTGAACATTTTTATTAGTTTTTAAGTCATAAGAAGCATCGTGATAGATTCACCAAGATTTCAGTTTAAAAATAATTCGATTCAGATTAAATAAAGTATTATTTCTGAGGTCCTTACAGTGCTTATAATATGATTATCATAAAGATTTCTCTTTATATTTGCCTTCTGATCTCTCCATTGCTTTGTTGATAAATAAGTTCATTTGAGGACATATTCTGCCCATTAACATGTGTATAGCAGGCAGCCTTCTAGATGGTAAGATTTTAAGTTTACTGATAAGTTTCTTTCCTATCACTTTCCCCCAAATCCAAACCAAATCCTTCCTCATTGAAGACTGAAATTAAGTCATCAAGTTTCTTACTTTGATTAAGGTCATATATCTTGTTAAAGTGTAAACATCTCTAAAATGTATTTCTTATTTAAAATTTAACATATTATATATTATTTGTCATTTTTAAACCTTGCATGAATGAGCTTAGCAGAGAAAACTGGTTTTGAGGAGGGAGGGGAGAGAGAAAGGTGGGTAGGAGCAAGTCTCTTTCTAAGGGAGGGGATTCAGATGTGGAAACCAGGGAAACTAAGTCAAATATGGATTCTTCAGTACCTGCCACTGCCAGACTTTAAGGCTTTGACTGCAATGATCAGAGTCCTCACGGTCTCATAGGAATCAGTGCTCCTTACTGCATCAACTCCTTAACACACATTGAGATATTCTACTCTCAAGTGAAAAACAAAAGACATTTATTTCTATGCTGTGCTGGTCACATATGACCTGGAAATCTGATACATTAGTCATTTATGAATTCTGACTCAAGAGTCAGGTGGGCCAACACAACTACATAAATCCGTTTTATCCCCATAAGAACAAACAAAACCACAAGTCTACGATTTTATTTCTAGACAATTAAAAATTATTTGTCCCACACTGACAAGATGGGAATCTAATTACTCAAAACATGCTGTGTTATAAAGCAAAGATATGGATGAATCCTGTGTTTAAAAAGTATGTGTGTGTGTTGAGAGGGTGGCATGCTCAGGCAAATGTGCACAGTTCTTTGTCCATGTGTTGTAAATACAATAAATGCTATCACAGAACACCTTTTATTTTTATTTTTATTACTATTTTTAGAGACCAAGTCTTGCTCTGTTGCCCAGGGCAGTGGCACAATCATAGCTCACTGCTGCCTCCAACTCCTGGGCTCAAGTGATCCTCCTGCATTAGCCTCCGGAGTAGCTAGGATTACAGGTGTGTGCCACCACACCTGGCTAACTTTTTAATTTTTTGGTAGAGCTGGGGTCTCACCACACTGCCCAGGTTTGTTTCAAACTACTGGCCTCAAGTGATCCTCCTGCCTCAGTCTCCCAAAGTGCTTTGATTGCAGGCATGAGCCACCACACCTGGCCCTTTTATTGCAATTGTGATCCTAGGTTATGGCTATGTGAGGTTGATTTAACTTTTGCTCCAGGACTACTTTGAGAATGTAAATACTCTTTCTCTTGAAATTCATCACCTTTGTAGATCCTCTGCATTTATTACCAAGGTACCAAAATGAAGCAATGTCTTCCAAGTTCTCTTTGCTATGTTTTCTAACAGTAAGATTAGTTTTGAAGTGGATTTGCCATGGGTCAAATAGTATCACTTGTAGCAGAGCCCTAACCATGATACAAAAGGAAATCTACTTCTCACTTCTGCAAAGTAAGATGATCCTTCTTGCAGGTGGAAGACGTGCTGGCTTGAAGACAGCATTGCAGTTTGCAAATAGGGCATGCTAAGCCAGGGATTGGGCCAGCATAGGCTTTCTTTCTGCTCTAGGTGCCAAGTGAAACCAATGGAATTTTACAATTTTTGCTCTGCTGTTAAATTTATGCAGAATTTTAAATGATACTCAACCAATTTCTCCTGTAGATGCAGTTTTAGTCACTCTCTTAGCTGGGATAAGAAAGAATAGCAGTCCTATAAGTAGAGCAACAGTTGAATCTGTAGCAAAACCAGGGTACCTGTAAAAGGGACAAATACATGTATTAAAAATAGCATCAAGAACTTATTGTTTGCTAAAACACCAACCAATTTTGTGAATAACAGTAGTACGTTATTATCAGTAGCAGGTGGTGTAGGTTATTTATTTTCAATAATCTGCCTTAAAAATATATGGATTCCCAATTAAATGACATAACACAAAAAACAATAATCTCAGACTGTATTCCTATCGTTTCCATATATCTCTTCTTTTGACTACCACATATACACATGCTGACATCCTAGGCCAAGGTGGCAAATTTCCCTTTTAGATAAGCTTATAGATTTGTTAAACAATTTCTTCTTTGAATTATTTAATTTAATTTAATTATATTGATCTAGATTTGAAGTTGAAACATTGCTAGGGCAGGCAAAGCTCCATATAATTGATTTATAATATCCTTCTATTAAATTGTGGCAAGGCATGATGTTTCTGTGGTCCCCTAAAACCTCTATAACTTGTGAAAAGGAATTGATCTGTTTTCTAAGATATAACACCTGCTTCTGTGGTTATAGGCTCTAACCATATCATACAAATGAAAGCAACCCACTTAATGCTTTGCACCCATGAAACTCAATCAAGAATATTAATTATTGGAGTGGTTTAGCCAATGCTCACAAATGATCACCATACAAATTAGACTGATTCAGGAACAGATGGGGTCTCAGAATCATCAGATCATTCTAAAATGAGACAGGTTCCCAGAAGCTTCAACAGTAAAAGAACCTGAAGGCCAGGTATAACTGAAACAGTCATTAATAATTAGAATTTAGTTTTAAAAGTCAGCAGTATTAATTCGTGTATTTCTGTAGTCTGAGAAGAAATACGTGCATGCTAAAGATTATTTTACTATCTTGTAACTCAGTTATGTGTACACACTACAGAAGCTTCTCTACTTCCACAATTTACTGGAAAAATCTAAAAAGCCAAAGAAATGCAATATCTTAATCTAGCAATTTTTAAAGCAATCTACTTTCTATAAGTATAGACACATTTTCTTGCATTATTGGTTAAAAATCTACCTTACTGTAATTTATCCTACAAACTTGACTGATATTTATAATTTTATTATTCCTTATTTCTCTTATTTCAGTTAAGATTTTTGGTTGAGTTTTTGGCAAATTGTGCCAGGCATCATGTAACCAGATTTTGTTTTATATGAAAGGACACATTGAATTCAGTCCAGGTACAAACAGATGGAATGAAAACATTAGGTGGTAGCTATAAATCTTGATATATCATGCTAGCTTTAGAAATTCTTAATGCCTAAAACTCTGCATAACAAATACATCCAATGAAATATGTATATTAAATTAAATCAAGGCATAAATACTAAATAATTTATTTTCAAAGGACTGTAAAAACTATTATTATCATATTACAACTTCATCAGGAATGCAGTTAGGTTATTTCAGTATTAGAAGATGTTAATCTTATACAAATTTTATTTGTTTTGGGTTTGCCAATTAGATTTATACTTTAAAATCTCATCCTCTCTCAAACCTTTGTTCCTTTCCTATTGTTTTGTCTCAGAATTCTGGGTGACATGAGCGCCTGCTTATAGCCAATACACACTGCTTTCCTGCTACAAACAAAGCATCTCCTGTTTTCTCCCGTAAGAAACATAAATTAGAAGCCAATTATATTGAATTTCCTGTAGGAATTTCTGCCTGCGCTTTATTAGCTATCGTCTGATTTCATTTAAGTCTGTCACACTGGTGTTTAGATAAAGACTCTCCCTGTCTAGATGACAGAAATTGGATTTTAAAAGGGGGAACAATTATTTTTTAGGTTGGTCTAGATCCTACCACAAAGCCACAAAGTACTAATGAATTATTACATAATAACTTGCTTTAAATAATTAAATGTCTAAACCTCTCAAAAATGAGAAGTTTTCTTTCTAAGGGAATCAAAAAGTTTATAAAAATGCAGCTGATCCTTTAAAACACACTACTATATTGCATTGCTTGACTTGTGTGGTCACTAGGGATATGGATTCAGACTTCATACCCTTCAGAAACATTGGCAATGCCTATAAAACCAGAAGGTTCTGATTCAGGGAGGGAAGAATTTCTTTATTCTATGTGGGCAAAATACATATGACCTAAACAATTTTGGTTTTTACCCCAAAATACAAAAAAGAAAAATGAAGAACTTTTGCTGGGGGATGTGACAGGGAGTCCAAGTAAGACATGTGCTATATTCGAAATTAGAGTAGTTCAGTGAAAGATAGATTGGGAACACAAATCTTACAACCACATTATTTATATTGACATGTAGGATGATCCTTAATTTAGAAAATTATGCCATACTCTTCCCCCTCACTTCACAGGACTCAGAAATTGACTGCTGGTGTATAAGACGCTGAGATATAAAATTAACTCTGACCCAGCTTCTAGCCTCAGCTTTTAAAATCAGTCTTATTATTTCTTTAGAAATTCCTCATCTATGAAATGGAGGCTAGCCTGAACTTTTAGTGAACTAGTGTAAAAATGTAAATAAATCAAGAAAAAAAGAAACCACAAGATATTGTACCAAACAAATAGTCCTCCATAGAATGAAAAAACAAAGTTGGTAAAGATTACATAATATGAATTTACATCAGATTATTAAAAGGCATTGACAGGTATTTATTTCACGTAATAATGCTTCCCTAAAGGGAGAAGGCCAGCACTATGCTAATGCTATCATTAGCTCCATTTTAAAGATGGAGACATTAAGAATTAAGTGACTTGCCTAAAGTAAGTGGATGAGTCAGGACTGGAACCCAAGCAATGTGGCTCTGAAATCTATGCTCCCAATCACCATAGAACACAGCTTTTCTATATATTTCTTTTTTTCTTTTTCTTTTTTTTTTTTTTTTTGAGATGGAGTCTCACTCTGTCTCCAGGCCTGGAGTGCAGTGACGCCATCTTGGCTTACTGCAACTTCCACTTCCCAGGTTCAAGTGATTCTCCTGCTTCAGCCTCCCGAGTAGCTGGGACTACAGGCACGTGCTAGCATGTTCAGCTAATTTTTATATTTTTAGTAGAGATGGGGGTTTCACCATGTTGACCAGGATGGTCTCCGTCTCTTGACCTTGTGATCTGCCCACCTTGGCCTCCCAAAGTGCTGGGATTATACTTGTGAGCCACTGGGCCAGCCTTTGCCTATTGTATTTCTAATTTGCAGGGATGGGAATAATTTTATCTAATGGACTTTGACTTTTAGTAACATAATAGTATGGTTACTCTTTCTGTGCTCTTATCCTAGATTTAATTCCTTATAATTTTTTCTAAAAAGATTAGAATTTAAAGTATCTTTTCGAGGGAAATAAAGAAAAATACCTCATCCTATCTTTCAGAATTATAGGAACCACATAGGAGAGAAGCAGAGTATAAAACAGGAAGGGCTGACAACATAACATGCAAAGCTTACTCTGAAAAAAGTGCAGACCAACCAGAAACAAATCCAGGATCTCGGCTAAACCATAGCAGAGCCATTGCAATGAAGAGGACCAAGGTCACAATTTCTTGATACCTATGGAAAAATTCCAGTGGTGTTATTTCTTATTTTCTTAGGACATTTGTAGAAACTCCTTGAGCTATTGTCAGGAGTGATCTCAGCAGAACATTAAATACTGTAAGAACTGGATGTGTCAATAATTTGAGAGCATCAGTGTAGTTTGAAAAAACCCTTACTCCTTTGTGGGATCTCTCAGCTTCTTTTCATTTTACCTGGCAAATTTAGGTTAGACAAAGGTATGTATTTTAACATGTTGGGTTATAACCTATAATCTCCATAGCTTAGCAAATTTGGGGCCCTAATCAAGTATTATAAATATCTTACAAGCAATTATGTATTTATTTGATTTTCAATAGCTATGTGCAGTATAAGCAGCATAAGCAGCATCTCTCTCTCTCTCTGTCTCTCTCTCTCTCTCTCTCTCTCTCTCTCTCTCTCTCTCTCTGCGTGTGTGTGTGTGTGTGTGTGTGTGTGTGTGCGCATATGTGTATGTCTTACCTTATTGGCCCAAGTTTTTGGTATTCTTTCTTAATCACCTCAGCATAAGCTTTTTGTTGGACTGTTTTGGTTTTGCCACGTTTGAACATCTTAAAACTGCAAAGAATAATTAAGCCTTGTAAGCAAGGAATTCTTTTACTTCACCTCCCTGTAAGGAAGATACTTTTGTGAAACATCTTCATCTTCATGCAATGTAAATCTCCATGTTAGTAACAGATACTTATGCTTTTCACCTCTACCTCCATCTCCTTTTTTGAATGTCTTCCCTCTTTTCTGTTTTTGCCTGGTTTGCTCACTTTTCCATGTTCTATTTTCATTGCATATTTTCCATGATATCCTTTACCAATCTCTTCCTTTTTCCAAGTTATTTTGCACCATTGGAATTTTGCCATGTGCCACTTATCTCTAACACTTTATTATGTACTAGATCTTTACATATTAAAAATGTATTTATTGTGTATCTTGGTTGCTAATTGTTCCACACATGTAAGTTATAGCCCACTAATTAAATTATTTGGGGGCAGGGACAGAGATGATGCCACAGATGTTTTCTTTGGTCTGCTATCTGTGAACACTGGCATACACAGCAAATACTTGACCCATCAATCCAGTAGTACCTTTGGCAAATGTACGAGACAGTATGAGACAGTTGGGGCCAGATCCATCAGTTTTCATAAACATCACATGTTCTCACTCATAAGTGGGGGCTGAACAATGAGAACACATGGATCCAAGGAGAAGAATGACACACACTGGGGCCTGTCAGAGGTGCAGAGGGAGGGAGAGCATCAGCATAAATAGCTAATTCATGCAGGGATTAATACCTAGGTGATGGGTTGATAGGTTCAGCAAGCCATCATGGCACACGTTTGCGTAGATAACAAACCTGCACATCCTGTACATGTATCATGGAACTTAAAACAAAATTTTAAAAAGAAGTAAAACACACTCTATTACATTTTTTTCTTTAAATCTCTTTACCGCTATGTCCTAATGCACCCTCCACATAATCTAGTTTATTCTGATAGTCACTGCGACTTTGTCGACTTTTTATTGTTTTCAGCTGCTTGTTTTAGTGACCTCTTTCCTCAACAACTAATTTTCTGTCCTGAAGTCCGATGTCTTCAAACTGAATAGTTTTGTGAAACACTGTTCTAGATGTGGATTTTTTTTTTTTTAAATTTTTTATTGGATTATAGGTTTTGGGGTACATGAGCAGAGTATGCAAGACAGTTGCGTAGGTACACACATGGCAGTGTGCTTTGCTTTTCTTCTCCCCTTCACCCACATTTGGCATTTCTCCCCAGGCTATCCCTCCCCACCTCCCCCTCCCACTGGCCCTCCCCTTTTCCCCCCAATAGACCCCAGTGTTTAGTACTCCCCTTTCTGTGTCCATGTGTTCTCATTTTTCATCACCCACCTATGAGTGAGAATATGCGGTGTTTCATTTTCTGTTCTTGTGTCAGTTTGCTGAGGATGATGTTTTCCAGATTCATCCATGTCCCTACAAACGACACGAACTCATCATTTCTGATTGCTGCATAATATTCCATGGTGTATATGTGCCACATTTTTCCAATCCAGTCTATTATCAATGGGCATTTGGGTTGATTCCAGGTCTTTGCTATTGTAAACAGTGCTGCAATGAACATTCGTGTACATGTGTCCTTATAGTAGAACGATTTATAGTCTTTTGGATATATACCCAGTAATGGGATTGCTGGGTCAAATGGAATTTCTATTTCTAAGGCCTTGAGGAATCGCCACACTGTCTTCCACAATGGTTGAACTAATTTACACTCCCACCAACAGTGTAAAAGTGTTCCTTTTTCTCCACATCCTCTCCAGCATCTGTTGTCTCCAGATTTTTTAATGATCGCCATTCTAACTGGCGTGAGATGGTATCTCAATGTGGTTTTGATTTGCATCTCTCTGATGACCAGTGACGATGAGCATTTTTTCATATGATTGTTGGCCTCATATATGTCTTCTTTCGTAAAGTATCTGTTCATATCCTTTGCCCACTTTTGAATGGGCTTGTTTGTTTTTTTCCTGTAAATCTGCTTGAGTTGTTTGTAAATTCTGGGTATCAGCCCTTTGTCAGATGGGTAGACTGCGAAAATTTTTTCCCATTCTGTTGGTTGCCGATCCACTCTAGTGACTGTTTCTTTTGCCGTGCAGAAGCTGTGGAGTTTCATTAGGTCCCATTTGTCTATTTTGGCTTTTGTTGCCAATGCTCTTGGTGTTTTGTTCATGAAGTCCTTGCCTACTCCTATGTCCTGGATAGTTTTGCCTAGAATTCCTTCTAGGGTTTTTATGGTACCAGGTCTTATGTTTAAGTCTTTAATCCATCTGGAGTTAATTTTAGTGTAAGGTGTCAGGAAGGGGTCCAATTTTTATGTTTTGTGTGAGTATAGAAAGAAAGGACATTTTCTTCTGTAAAATATCTGGGGCAAGCCTCAATATTCATAATCACCCTCATATATACACCTCAATGACTGATTATGAGTGAATGGACAGTGCTACATTTATGATCAGTGAGGAAATAAATGCCTTTTATAATATCAATTAAATTACTGACTAGTGGCAGACTCAAACTTTTACCCCTGGTCGTGACATAAACTAGTGGCAGACTCAAACTTTTACCCCTGGTCGTGACATAAACTAGTGGCAGACTCAAACTTTTACCCCTGGTCGTGACATAAACTAGTGGCAGACTCAAACTTTTACCCCTGGTCGTGACATAGATACTACTCTTGTAAGAAACTAATTTAAGGGCTACCTACAGAGAAATCTGTAGAGGAGAAAATCATAGTTAAAGAAAGAGATGAGTCTCCTTAGAAACAATTTTCCACCCAGTACATTGCATTTGTATTTTATCATTTTGGTTGCAGACAATAAATAGTTAAGTTAAAAGCCAAATTGGCTTGGCTACAAATGAAGGTTAATGCCTTCACAGAGGAACTGACAAAGCCGGTGACAGTGCATCAGACTCCCCACTTAAGTAAGTTCGGTGGCACTGACAGATGAGCTCCTCTTCTCAGGTGTGTTGGGGTCATTTATAATGGGTGAGTAAACTGTGTTAACAGCCAATAAGCTAATCGGAATGTATGCTAGTCTGCCAGGGGAGTGACTGCTAATTTCTGTCTGTCAATCTAAAATCTCTAGAGGTGAACACTCTGGCAGATGGAAAAGGACACTGAAAAATTATCTGGAACATGAAGCTGTGCAGTGTCTAACCAAGAGTGGACACCAAGGGAACTGTTTAAACATGCCACTGATCATGATTTATGGACTTTGCCTAGTGTTTACACTTCATGGAATTTTTTTTCTCATCGAAAGCATATTTCAATGTATTTGACTTTTATCTTCTTAATTTCTCCTTTTTAAGTGGTGTGCCATTTTAAAATAACGACAATGGTTGCATATATATTTTATAAAGTCATTGAATGTAGCAATGAAGAACCTGTGACTCTTTTGACTTGGGTTTGCCATCCCCTGTATCCTGCACTGCTACCTGCACAATTGAATAGCCCCAAAGGCTTGGATTTCCTGAAAGGGACACTTAGTATGCAGCTGGCCTCTCCCCATTGATGCCCACCTGCTGAAGTCAGTGACATTCTACACATTTGCTTCAGCAGGAGGACTGCCACATGCTGCTCCCACAATCTGGATAGAATTATTTTTTTAATCATCAGTACCATTTTGTCACTAGTAATGAAATCATGCCAGTTCTAGAGAAAAAGCAGAAAGAGGAATCAAGAGGGAAGAATATCAGTCCTCGTATTACTAGACTAAAAAACTGTGACCACAGGCATGAAACCACATCTGATATCAGCATTTTGCCTGCCTGCCTTCCTTCCTTCCTTCCTTCCTTCTTTCTTTCTTTCCTTCCCTTTCCCTTTCTTCCTTCTTTCCTTCCTTCCTTCTTTCCTTCCCTTTTCCTTTCTTCCTTTCCTTCCCTTTCCCTTCCTCCCTCCTTCCTTCCTTCCTTTCTTTTTCTTTTTCTTTTTTTCTTTCTTTCTCTTTCTTTTCTTCTTTCATCTTTCTTTTTTCTTTCTCTCTCTCTCTCTCTTTCTTGTTCTTTCATTTCTCCCTACCTCTCTTCCTCTCTTCCTCTCTTTCAAGACAGAATTTTGCTGTTGTCACCCAGGCTGAAGTGCAATGTTGTGATTTCAGCTCACTGCAACCTTCACCACCTCCAAGGTTCAACCAGTTCTCCTCCGTCAGCCTCCTGAGTAGCTGGGATTACACGTGCCTGCCACCATGCCCAGCTAATTTTTGTATTTTTAGTAGAGAAGGGGTTTCACCATGTTGGCCAGGCTGTTCTCGAACTCCTGATCTCAGGGGATCCACCTGCCTTGGCCTCCCAAAGCATTTTACTTTTCAAAGGAAGTACACATAGCTGGCTTCAGTCTCTCTGGTCGGTGAATAACATGCTGTTTTATTTATAGGTCCTTGAAATTATTTAAATAAAACCCCACAAAAATAAATTTGAGTTGTTTTGTTTTTCAGGAAAAAAAATATACTCAAGATTTGATATACAGTGACTTCACCTTCCTTTTAGGAGTATTGTAAGACAAGTAGAAATTACAGGCTGCATTTGAGATTTTGCTCTGGAGCCCTTCATAATTGTAAATGCTGGTTGTCATCTAAGTCATGTAATTCATTGGTACTTATTAACTACCAGCTTTGATCCCAGTCAAGATAATATGTTGAAGTTATCTTCGAATACATATGTTCGACAATTTAGTGGCATCAGTAGGTCTTTATTAATCAACATTTTTTTTCACTTTGACATCTACGTGTTTGACTTAGGCCCAGATGTGTTAGAATTATAGCATTGGAAGGGATCTTACTGATGTTCTGGGTAAATTCTATCATCTGACAGTTGGAGACACCGAAACTGAGAATGGGTCTGGATTTGCAGTGATCCCTTATCTGGCCTCTGAGAAGCCACAGTTTTATTCCTGGTCTAGTAATTCCTAAAGCAGTATTCTTTCCACAGAGAACATCCTCAGATCTTTATTATACTTTGTATAATGAAAGGATGTCAATTTTGGTTCTAGTATGATGCAGGAAGCCCTATATGTCACAGTTTAAGCAGCTTGATAACCCAAGGAAATCCCCACGTTAAACCAAGGGGAAGGACAAACCTTAAAATTCCCCTTTAACAAGTTGGACATCAGATTGAGTTCTTTATGCCTTTCAATATCTTATCACCTTGGGACTTAAAGAACACCTAGATGATTTGTCTGTCCATCCATTCTTCCTTTCTTTTGTCTTCCTTCCTTCCTTCCTTCCTTCCTTCCTTCCTTCCTTCCTTCCTTCCTTCCCTTCCTTGCTTCCTTCCTTCCTTCCTTCCTTTTCTTTCCTTTCTCTCTTTCTCTTCCTCCCTCCCTTCCTCCCTCTCTCCCTCCCTCCCTTCCTTCCTTCCCTCCTTCCTTCCTTTCTTCCCTCCTCTCTTTGGAGTCTTGCTCTGTCACCCAGACTAAAGTACAGTGGCATGATCTTGGCTCACTGCAACCTCTGCCTCCCAGGTTCAAGCAATTCCCCTGCCTCAGCCTCCCGAGTAGCTGGGATTACAGGCATCTGCTACCGCACCTGGCTAATTTTTGTATTTGTTCTTGTAGTAGAGATGGGGTTTCACCACGTTGGCCAGGATGATCTCTGTCTCCTGACCTTGTGATTCCCCTGCCTTGGCCTCCCAAAGTGCTGGGATTGCAGGCATGAGCCACCACATGCAGCCCTAATCTTTATTTTTATTTATTTTGTTTTTTGAGACAGCTCTCACTCTGTCACCCAGGCTGTAATGCAGTGGTGTGATCTCAGCTCACTACAGCCTCTGCCCCGCAGGCTCAAGCAATGCTTCCACCTCAGCCCCTTGAGTAACTGAGATCAGAGGCGCACACCACCATGCCTGGATGGTCTTTTTGGTGGGAGGTTTTCGTTTTGTTGTTTTTGTTTTATTTTGTTGTTGCTGTTGCTGTTGTTGTTTTTTGGTAGAGACAGAGTTTTGCCATGCTGTCCAGGCTGGAGAGGATTGCTCAAGCAGTCCTCCCACCTCCCACTTTCAAAGTGCTGTGATTATAGGCATGAGCCACTGCATATGGCCTCTTTCTAATCTTTAATTAACTCTTCCACAGCCAATATTGTTTAAATGAGATTCAAGTTTATTCCTAAATTTGTGTGTAATAATTTTGTAAGTAACAAAAATGCAGAAAGATAGCCTGCATGGCATAGGAGAAGGAGCACTGGATAAGGAGCTAAGAACTGAGAACCTAGACACCTTTATTTATCATATTATTAAATATTTACTTACTTGAATCCTAGGAAAAGCCACTGAAGCCAGATCCAGGATAAGAGTAGAATGATAAGAGCAGCCGGGAAGGAAAACATAAACCATGATCCAAAGTTGAGGCAGTGACAATCAGGATAGCGTCTGTGTGAAAATATGGAGACATGTTCAGGAAAGGAGAGTCAGGTGGAATCTTTGTGACAGTCACAGAGAAGCAGCAGTCCACCTCTTTCCTGTGTTGTTGTCCAAGAAGGAAGTCCTGGAATATACTCATCATTAAGTAGAATACGTTTACCCCTTGTCTCCTTTCTTGATTCTGTAACTGCGTAATTATCACTGCATTCCATAAAAGCAAGAGTGAGGCCGGGCGCGGTGGCTCACGCCTGTAATCCCAGCACTTTGGGAGGCTGAGGCAGGTGAATCATGAGGTCAAGAGATCGAGACCATCCTGGTCAACATGGTGAAACCCCATTTCTACTAAAAACACAAAACATTAGCTGGGTGTGGTGGTGCGCACCTGTAGTCCCAGCTACTCAGGAGGCTGAGGCAGGAGAATTGCCTGAACCCAGGAGGCGGAGGTTGTGGTGAGCCGAGATCGTGCCATTGCACTCCAGCCTGGGTAACAAAAGCAAAACTCCGTCTCAAAAAATACAAAAATACAAAAATTAGCTGGTCATGGTCGTGTGCGCCTGTAGTCCCAGCTACTCAGGAGGCTGAGGCAGGAGAATTGCTTGAACCCAGAAGGCAGAGGTTGCGGTGAGCCGAGATCATGCCATTGCACTCCAGTCTGGGTAACAACAGCGAAACTCCACCTCAAAAAAAAAAGCAAGAGTGGATATGTTTTGATTTTTGTTCTCTATATTTAATCTTTAAGGAAGTACTTGTGAAAAAAAAAACAGCACAGCACTTGGTACTCATTAAATGCACAAGAAATTGATGTTCATGAGGTGTGTGCATTTTGTTGTCACTACTCAAAACATCAGTATGTGAACAAGGAAAGCAAACAGACTTGGGGATGAGTGAAAATTAATGGGACTGAATGTCTGTTCCCATTTCACCTTAGTGGCTGGAATTCTTGGCCCTAAGAAAGGACTCTGATCCAGCCCATGTCATCTCCCATGGCTGTTTTCCCCTCTGTTTCTTCTACCCCAAAGCACAGCAACCATCTAGCCACGTAGATGGTAGCTCTTTCTTCCTAGAACCAGGTGGTGCTTTGGGGCACAGTCAAATAGCATAACTCTGAGCCAGATAGAAATAATTAAAAGTTCTAGAGAAATCAACAACTTTTCTTTTAATCTTACCTAGTGATTTTCAACATTTAAACCCACATAATAACAACAACAAAAGGTCAGACGCTAGCACAGTTTTTTTGGTAGCCTCACATTCATTGTTCTAAAATGTAGTCTAAATACCAAATAAATTCTTATATAGTCATCCACTTTATAACTATGGAAAAGCAATGGGAGATTTGAAAAACAGTTGTCTTTACTTTTTTTCTAAAAGCAGTAACGCAAGAACAAATTTGGAAGTCTGAAAAACAAATAAGATACACAGAAATAATAAAAACATTGTTAACATATTTGAGTATTTTTGAAGTTGTAAACTTTATAGAAATATAGATTTGCAGCTGGGCGCAGTGGCTCAAGCTTGTAATCCCAGCACTTTGGGAGGCCAAGGTGGGCAAATCATGAGGTCAGAAAATCAAGACCATCCTGGCCACCATGGTAAAACCCAGTCTCTACTAAAAATACAAAAAATTAGCTGGGTGTGGTGGCACACACCTATAGTCCCAGCTACTCAAGAGGCTGAGGGCAGGAGAATCACTTGAATCTGGGAGGCAGAGGTTGCAGTGAGCCAAAATCACGCCACTGCACTCCAGTCTGGGGTATATATAGGTTTATTTTATATAGATAGATAGATAGATGATAGGTAGATAGAGATTTGCAATTTGTCTTCTATTTAAATCATACTTTGTACTTTGTCATTTAAAAAATATAACTAATAAAATATTTCATGTTATATCTATACACTTGATCTTAGCCAAAAAGCCAAGAAGCAATCATGCCATATCTATGTAGTGAATTTATGTACTTTAGAGTATTTCTTTTTCTATTTTAAGATGGCTCCTAATAATAATGGGTCCTCAAAACTGTACATTTCTAAGGTTTTCTATAATTTTGTGAGCTTATGAAAAGTTACTAATCTCCCTAGGCTCTGAAAGTATCTTTAGCAACTTGAGGATAATTTTTATCTACCTTGGAGAGATCCAAAGATTAGCTTACATATTTATGCAATTAGAAGATGACAACTGATAATTAAAGATGTTAGAAAATTTGCAGAATGTCATGAATGGAAAATGCTTTATCACATCTATGAGGCTCTGTTGAAAACTATTCATTTTTGAAAAATGTTGTCTCCAGTTGGAAAATAAGGTAACAGGAAAAAAAGCTGATTTCCCATTAACGTTAGAATTGAATTACAGGATGACCTACTAACGTAGGTCTGTACCACCTAACAAAACTTAGAAATGCTGCTTGGATTAGGTTTAGATCCATGTCCTCCATCCTAATTTCACTTTTCATCATCTGTGGCTTATATCTTGAAAACAGTCTGCAGAGCTCTCCCCACCCACTGGAGAAAATTCTACAAAATGTATTTGACTGAAGATGGGCTTTTCAGAATTTTTGCCTGGAGGAATAGTTTCTTTAGAAAAATGAAAGCCTGAAAAAGTTAAACTTCGTTTCATTTAATAGTACAGAAGTATATAAACAACCACATGAGACTATGCCTCTGTAATCATAACCTTTACCCTTTTCCTAGAGTAAATATTTTGAACAAATAAAGTATATATGGCATACTCTAAGGGTTTTCTTTTGCTCTGATGTTCCTTTTCTTATATCCTGCAAGTGAAGAGACTTCAAACATGTGTCTACAGCAAATACAGATTTCTTGTATCATGAACTATGCTAAGAGATGTAATCCTCATGAAATCCTTTTCTTCTACCCAACACTGTTTGCTGTCTACCAAATGCCAGGTGCTCTCCAAGCTACTGGGGACACAGTGGTGAATGAGATTGACCTGGTCCAGGCTCTCATAAAGTTTATGTTGAAGTGGAGCACACACTCAATAAACAGGTAAACATATAACAAAATTGGAAATAAAATGGAATAATGCAATAAAAAGTTATTAGGGGAAAAAGGAAATTTTATATAATGTCATAAGAGAAGGTAGTATTTTAGATGAAATCTAAATAGCAAGAAGGAGCCAGTCATGTGAATAACTGGGAAGCAACATTTCGGACAGGGGAAATGGCAAGTACAAAGCTCTTGAGTTAAAAATGAGTTTGTCATGCTTGTGGAGGCACAGGAGGCCACTGTGGCTGTGGGTAGTGAACTGAAAGAAGTCGCCAGTAGGGATCAGATCATATGTAACCTTGTAGCCAGTCCAAAAGGATTTGGATTTTATTACAAATGCAATGAGGACTAATTGGAACATAGTAAGTTAGTAACGTGACATGACCTAATTAGTAATTGACATAAAACAGATTGGCTCCTGGATGCATTCTCAGGATTGAAGGCGACAAGACTGGAAACAATGTGTGATATTCAGGATGTGGTGGCAGAGTTCCAAGATGTTACCCCAAATTCCTGCCTCCTGGTGTACACGCCTTGTAAAATCTCCTTCTCTTCTGTGTAGGCAGAATCTATGAATATGTTGATGATCACCTAATATGTTGATGTCAACCTAATCACTCCTATGATTAGGTTGCTCAGTGAAAAAAGCAAAGGGATTTTTGCTTAGGTAATCAAAGTCCCTGTCAATTGAATTTGAGTTAGTCAAAAGCAGGAACTATCCTGGGCAGGCCTAACTTAACCAGCTGAGCCCTTAAAATAGAGTTTCCTCCTGGCCTGAAGAAGATATCCTGTTGTCAGAGGGAGGGGCCCTGTAGCAAGGGCCTGAGGGAAGCCTCTAGAAGCTGAGAAAGTCCCCATGCCAACAGCCAACAAGAAAGTGGACCCTTCAGTAATTAAACTACAAGGAACTAAATTCTACCAACAACCTCGATGAGCATGGAGGAATACCCTGAGCCCCTATCTAGGTTACAAGCTCAGTTGCCACCCTGCTTTCAGCCTGGTACTATCCTGAGCAAGAACCCAGCTAACCTTTGCCTGGACTATTTTTTTAAAATTCTTAAAATTTTTAATTTGTGTAGGTACATAGTTGGTGTATATATTTATGGGGTACATGAGATGTTTTGATATAGGCATTCAATGTGTAATAATCATATAATGGAATTGGGGTTATCCATTCCCTCAAGCATTTATCCTTTATGTTACAAAGAATCCAATTATACTCTTTTAGTTATTTTAAAATGTACAATTAAATTATTATTAAGTATAGTCACTCTGTCATCATATCCAATACTAGGTCTTATTCATTCTTTCTATTAACTTTGTACCCATTAACCATCCCTGACTTTCACCCCACACCCCTATTATCCTTCCCAGTCTCTGGTAACAATTCTTCCACTCTCTATCTCCATGAGTTCAATTGTTTTGATTTTAGATTCGACAAATAAGTGAGAACATGTGATGTTGTTTTTCTGTGCCTGGTTTATTTCACTTAACATACTGACTTCCAGTTCCATTTACGTTGTTGCAAATGACAGGATCTCTTTTTTATGGCAAAACGCTATTCTATTGTATATGTGTACCACATTTTCTTTATCCGTCCATCTGTTGATGGATGCTTAGGTTGCATCCAAATCATGGCTATTATTAATATATACAGTATTGCAACAAACATGGGAATGCAGATATAGCTTCCAAACACTGATTTTCTTTCTTTTGGGTATATTCCCCACAGTGGAATTGCTGAATCACATGGTGGCTTTATTTTAGTTTTTGAGGAACTTTCAAACTGCTCTCCATAGTGGTTGTACTAATAATTTACATTCCTACCAATCAGTGTGTGACAGCTCCCTTTCCTCTACATCCCCACCAGCATTTGTTATTGCCTGTCTTTTGGATAAAAGCCATTTTACCTGGGGTGAGATGATATCTCATTGTAGCGTTGATTTACATTTCTCTGATGATCAATGATGTTGAATGTCTTTTCATATGCCTGTTTGAAACTTGTATGT